TTCATAAGACGGGAAGCGATAGAACGAGCAAGTGGTATGATCACTTTTGTGATTACAACCTGGTACAAAGCACACAGGCATCTTGTAAAAGTGAATTTATTGGAGCAATCTCTTATATTTATTGGAGGGAATAAATCAGTCTTCTTCTTTGCTTTGCGAGTCGCAACCAGTCTTGGAGCATTATCGCCTATGACATCACTTACGCGACCCAGAATGCATTTGGGATTTGTAGTCTTTCTCGTTGCGTATTTTTCATAGTCTTATATTTCAACAGTTTTACGACAAACTGTTACTTTTTTTTACATGGAAATGATTATTTAAGATTGACAAACATCATATGTGTCATTCGTGGCACAATTCAAACGGGATCAAAAGATAACTTTTCTCTCTCCATTGACTTCAATGTATAATTTTCCGCTTCCGGGGTCCCATGGAGGCTCCCGGAAGGGGAGGGACTTCGCGTCTCTATAGGGTCCTCCTGTTAATAATGTTTAAAATACCTTTTAAATTCTCAACTTAATTTTGCAATTTTTGTTGTTGTGACCTGGCTTAAGCTTTACGGACAAAAATGACAACAACAATAATTATAACTATAATAAATATAATGATTATTTATTAGCATTATTAGTATAATTTGTTATTATCAGACCTTCCTTTGGTGTTTTATTTTGGAGGATATGACCGGAAGTTGCATCCCTTTCGTGCTGGGGAACTTGACAGTGATTTTCCTCGACCCTTCCTGCTGACTGCCACGTCGAGCTCCGTAAGGAACAGCAGGTTATTAACTTACTGTACTTTCTGCTGTGTCAAACCTGGCGTCTCGGACTCCGGTAGAAACACTGGAAGAACGGCCAAAACACATTCTCCGCTCGGAACTGTTCACAACTGCGGCTATCTGTAAGATAACGTTACCTCTGACTTTATGAGTCGTCAGCAGTATTTTCTCAGGGCTGTAACTTCACTAGCTCACATTTCCTAAAGTTAGTCCATGGTAACTAGCGTGAGGAGCCACCGGATACAGGACCGAACTGTTCGTCAGCCGCATATTGTAATGCGTTAAAAAACAGTTAAAGAATGTGCTGCAGTCCGGCAAACTGAATAACCCGTGCGTAAAGTCCATCATCGTACTAAGCTAGTTAAATTCCAGTAAGCAGACAAAGTCACTACCTTGTTTGTTTGGAGCCTTTATTTATCCAGGTAAAAAATCCCATTGAGATCAACGATCTCTTTTACAAGGGAGACCACCTTATTTGTACCTACTGCGTACCTTATTTGTACCTACTGCATACATGTTAGCTGACTGTTACTGGGCGGCATCAACAATGTGTCACTCAGCAACTGACATTACTAATGTTATCATCACTTTATAAGTTATAAGTTACCGGTAAGGTTATTTGACTTGTAAACAGTGACGTCATACATGGTTAAAGTGTCACCAGTCAGTCGAAGGGTGTAATGGTAGGCTACACAACCTTTGTGGTTTGGTATGTTTTCAGTACAGCATGTAAAACAAAATTAATAATACATTAATACAAAAACTGAAACATTTCACATTGGCCACAAATCCTTATGTTTGTAGAATGCACAATATGCAGTTTTTCATAGTTTAGGCTATTTTTTACCGGGGTCCAGTATTCCACAGAGGTAGCCTCCTCTCTACTAAAAACACATTAGGTGATGAAAACCCGTAAATCAATGTATAAAGCCATTTCACTTCTCAGATGCTGCCAGCGCAACAACAAATGTCCAGGGACTGCAAGCTAAGTTACCACTGATGTTTGCTCTATTTGTTTCTTTATCATTTAAGATTCTGATTAATTCACCAGGATGAGTCTCCTCCTCTAAAAAAAAACAGAAACTGTGAGTAAAACCGGTAAAAAACACACAAAAAAGGAGCAAGATGTTAAATAAATGTTTCTCCATCATGGTTCAAGGGCGTAGGATGGAGGTGCTGCAAGCTAACCAAACATTTTGGATCAGCTTCTCCTTCAGGAGGTTTTTACGGAGTTGGTCACACCACCGAAAAAGAACCCCTTGCCTGATCTGGTTTATAGAAACGTTTTGCACTCATGGGTGTAATGACCCTTTTTCTTTTACTTGCATTAACAGCCCAAAAGTCCTCACAACACAAGGTGTTTGACTAATTCTGCCATGACACATTGCTTTTGGAGGCTCGCTTCAAAGCGATGCAGGAATGAGTCCTAAACCCAGAAATTAGTTAGCATTTTAGCACTTCCAGGGTACCTTGTCTCAAAGTCAATGTTTTCTGGAATTACTTTTTAGTTAAAGACTGCAAACAAGATCTTTTGTTAATAAAAGCTAAACAGATCTTTGAGTTTTGTTCTCTGAAGTAAACACCCCAATGGGGAGTGTAGAGCTTTTACGTGTCTTACAAACAGTAGTTTCTTGAGACTGATAAACGTCAATAGACCTAACGTGAGTCTACCTTTTTGATTAGCAGTGTTGATGTGAAGTCATGGGACAGTCTTGTGGTTGTTTTATAGCCTAACGTTAGCTTTTTATTTCTGGCGATTGCATTTATGCTAGATCTACTATAAAAGTGGTGTTAATATATGGAGACTACCTTGTTGAACAAAACTGATTTCAACAGACCTTATTTTTTGCAATATTAAAATATCCGAAGGAAAGATCCAATAGCTAATAGTTGAAGGAGCTATTGGAAGGTAACTTCGGTCAACAGTTACATTTTTAAAAATCTTTATACAAAGACGTTAACTCTTTCCTGTTGAACATTTTAATGTGACTAATTCTAAGCTTAAGACCTTTTTCTGATCCGTTTTATCTGTCTTTGTCAGGTTCCTGTGAGCACAACAAAGAAGTAGAGGGAGAGGTCCTGGAGACAACATGAGGCAACTCAAAGGCAAAGCCAAAAAAGAAACGTCCAAGGACAAGAAGGAGCGTAAGCAGGCCATGCAGGAGGCCCGACAGCAGGTGGCCACCATAGTGCTGCCTACACTGGCTGTGGTGGTGCTGCTCATCGTCGTCTTTGTATATGTGGCCACCAGGCCTGGTGCTATAGAGTAGACATTCAAGATCTGCTGAGAACACACAAACTACAAACTGACAATGGCTATACCCAAAGGATTACCCCCTTCATGAGACTACCGTCCCTCTGTAGGCCCATGTCTAGCCTACCAATTGTCTCAATGAGAACATTCCCCAAAGGATCCCTCTTTGCTCTGAACAGGATTCAAGCGGCAAAAATAAGAAATCAAACTGAGCGAAGAAACCTCTGTGCCTTCAGACGATTGAAAATGTTATCCTGTTTATTTCAGAGTAGCAGATAGATTCATGTTGATGTCTTGGAAAAAGATGCAATACCATGCGTACCAAAGGACATGTGCACAGCTTGCAAATTTTGACCAGAGGTGTTAAAAAAATGTTTAAACATTTGACTCGGTGCTGCTCTAAATATTTATAGTTAATGCAACATTAGCCTGGTCTCTGACATGTACCACTCTTTGGACAGCACTCACACATATCTGTATGAATATGTATGTATGACTTAGGGACAAAGAACACTTCCTTTTTTTTCTAAATGCAGCACCAGAGTTTTTTATTGAATGTATTTGTAGAATGTGTTATCTCCAGTCCAGTATGTTAATACCAGGTTAATACACACATGAATATTTTCATCTTTAATGTGAATGTTACCCAATTTGTGTCCATTAAGTTATTGACAAGCATACATTTGAATCACTTATTTCATCTGTGCGATTTCAACAAGGTGCCTTAACAGATTTGAAACTGTATCATTTCAGTTCAATAAATTCATTTTTAAATAATTTGGAATTTGTTTAGTGTTAGAGAGTTTTGATTTATGCACATTAATGTTGCATTTTTATGTCTTTTATAAAGTGTATCTCAGTTTGTATCTGTCTTGGTAGAATCAGGTAGAGGAAATAATTAATGAGATCCAGACCCAATGACCTTGTATTTAGCTACGGCTACTGATATTGAATATGGTCAGTGTTATTCTGGACTTAATGCTTTCTTAAGGGTTCAATCATCTATGTTTTAACTTTGGATGGCTGATGACAGTGCCTTGAAAATATTAAATGAAACTGGACAAAATTGAATGAAACTGGACAATAACTAAAATGTGAGAAAATTGAACAAAATTGAATAATTTTGAATGGAACTTGAAAAATGAATGAAAATGTAGATTAGAATGATACTGGGTGAATATGACAGATACTTGGGAATATTGAATGAAACTTAAGAAAAATGAATGAAATAGGAGAATAGTGACTGCACCTTGAGAATATTGACTGAAACTTAACAATATTTATCAAAACTAAGAATATTGTCAAAAATGTGACTGAAGCTGAAGAACTGAAGAAATATTGACTGGAACTAGGGAATATTTAATGAAAGTTTGACCAGCATGTGACACTGTCAAGTTAGCTACAGCGGCATGTTTTTGTTACTGTTTTCTTTCATCCTTCTGCCAATTCTAAAAATGAACTACATATTCATGTATGAAGTCATACAGCAGTCACAAGGCAAAACATCCGGATGATTTATTTATTTATGATTCTTATTAAAGCTGTTGGTTTTTAATCAAACACACACAAGACATTATATCATTCTTCTTCTTCTTCTTCTTTTTTGTGGAAAAATATATATATTTTAATTTAGAGAATATGGTTATATGTTTAAAATATATTTTTCTGTGGTCACCAAGTGCTAGCTTGATTATTGTCACACAAGTAGCAATAGCCACGATTTGCACAACATGTCCACCAGGGACCATCCATGCCAGGGACGTGCAAAGGTACGGGCTAATGTTGCCTGGGCAACAGCCATTTTTGTCTGACCTGCCCCTTTGGAGAGAGCGAGTTTTTTTTTTCCTTCTATAGAGAGGATAAGTCCCTCCCCTTCCGGGAGCCTCCATGGGACCCCGGAAGAGGAAAATTATACATTGAAGTCAATGGAGAGAGAAAAGTCATCTTTCGATCACGTTTGAATTTTGCCACGAATGACACATATGATGTTTGTCAAATTAAAAGAACATTTTGCAAGTCAAAAAAATAAAAATGTGTCGTAAAACTGTGAAGTTACACATTTTTTTGTGTGAAACCGCTCAGTGAACTACAGGTCTCTGGTCTCGCACAATACGCGTCACCATCACAAAGATGGCCGTCACGTTAGCAAATTTCACCTGTTTCTTTCAGAATGAGGCGAAAAAGTATAAAACGAGGTGAAAATCACTACAAGTCTGGGCATGTTGAGAGCTGTACATACACGAAAGGGGAGGTTAGTCGGTTCTGTAAGAGCCAGCATGCGGGACCGGCTTTACAAGGTTTCAGTGAGTAATATGAGTGCAATGTTTAACGTTAATGTCAGCTAGCTAACATTAGCTAACAAGGTACACTAACGTGTTTTGTTTTAGCGACTAGTTTTCTCCTTAAGAACTTCGTGGTCTCTGTGTATGCTGTGGATAACATTAGTGTTCACAAGAACAAGATACACTCTTTGTTTCAGTTGCTCTTCAGATTGAAGCGGCCAGTTTTATATCGACTATATGTGTGATCTTCTTTTTACATCTCGTTGTGTCATTTGAGTTTATTTGCTGTGTGTAGATTCAAGGATTTTGGTTATCTTGTCAATTTGTTTGGTTATCTAGGCACAGCTGTGTGTGACTTCCTCTGGTACACTGGTATGTGTTTTCCTAATGTAGAGAGCATTGATTAATTCATAAACTAAACACTGAGTCTAGATCCTGACCAAATCCTTTT